ATCAGCTTCACTTTCTTAATCATGTCAAATGTTGTCTATGTCACCCCACGTTCCCCTATAAAATATCAATACGCCATACCATCCAGTAGAAAAAGCATTTCTCCGATCGTGAGAAAAGTACCCAGAGAATGCTCCGACATGACTATCTCCAGTAGCATCGGGGGTACCGTTGACAACGCTGCGATGTTTTCTTTCTGAATAACATATGCTAATTGCCCATCTGCCCATTCAATATGCTCCCAAAATGGTAAAGTATTTGTGAAAATTCTTTATTGTCTCGAGATATTCATGAATCGCTCCTGTACTATGTGTTTTCGTTTAGAATGGTTTATGATAATCACATTCTTTCTATTGAAACAATGTAAAAATGACGAGGTATTTGTGACGATGAACAGTACGTTTGATCACGAACTAAGGTAAACTTCTTCGACAAATAACAAGATATTTCCTAAGACAAGAAATACCTCTGCTGAATAGACCAGAAGCACATTTCTTCAAATAACCTCCTCGCTCTGTACCAAACCCAGATAAGACCCAGGCTTGAACTGCTCACATGTTTGAGGTGCTACCGCCCACTGTCAGACTGATCGATGACACACGCCATATTGAATTTTTGTTCAGGTAAATAGAGGTTATAATACTGATTCAAAATGTTCAAAATGTCATACATTGACAGGCCTTAGTTATTTCAGAGGAACAAAAATTCTTAGGTAGGCCTAAACTATCAGATAGTCATTAGTTTCGTATGCCAGACCAGACCTCAAATTAAATGTAGTAACAGGGTTTGGAAGACTGAGAAAAAAAGAGATAAGCCGAGCAGTGAGCAGTGTATAGAGAAGAGTCGGGCCTTGCCTACAAAATAACGGGCAAGGTTTGGTACATCTACTATGATTAATCTATGTCTATAAAATTTTCATTTTGTGTTCAGAAAATATAAGTATCATAATTTAGAGCTGGAAACTCCATTGAAATATACAAAATTTCAACATAGCGTCCATCTAGGCAGCAGCGGTGGCCGCAGTAGTTGTCTCTTCGGTCTCCTGAACAGTCGCCGTGCGCTGTGCGGGTTCGAGTCTCGTCCCAGGAGAAATTTTTCTCTTGGCTATGGATGTTGTGATTGTCCGTAGGTGGTAGACGATCTCTGACTGTCGAACGCGGAGGTACCACCCGGCGGATCTCGTAGGCGGAGCCAGAATGTGTGCATGTTGGATGCACACTTGTTCCCACGCTAGAGTTCGTGCGGCGTTCCCCCTTTCCCATGTATCCCCCTATAGCTCCACGGTTCCTAGTGGGTGCTTAGGCCTTAGGCCTTAATGGTAGTTGGAGTATAAAAGAAAAATTTGCAAAAACGAAGTCGAAAGAAGAAACTTCGAATTGAAGATTTGACTATGCTATCTTGTAGAGGAGAAAAAGTGACGATGTTAATGTGCAATTTATTTTGAGATCCTAACACAAATGAAGTCTGGAGATAATTAAAATGATTTTGGAAAAAAATCATTTTTTTCGTCCCTGTCCAGAAGTAATTTGAATTCCGAAACTTTCTGAGCGGCATTTTGTTGATTACCTAAATACGTAGCTTTGACCTTGTTCAAGCAACTTCATATCTCTCACTATTTCCAAGATCCCAATGGTGAGCGTCCAAGCATATTAGACTTTTTCGCTGGAGATGGGATAGTAATGAAGCTCACAATTTGAGGATTAGATGTATCTAAGTATTGAAGGCTTTTTTGTTCAGAGGGACCTGAGTAAAATACGGCACTTTTGACGCAATTTCGTTTTCCATTGCACACCATAGAGCGAGAAGTACCAGAACTTGCGTCATCCGAAGTTGTTCGCGCCCTTAAATTAGAATGTAAATTTTGAAAGTTTCAAATTCTTCAATATTTCCATGACTGTCGATTTTTCAAAGTTGTCAAATGGGAATGGCTATACCAGGTGGTTCTGGTCTTCCCTTATTTTTACGCGGTGTCGCGTAATGAAGACGTGCGATATCGGGTACTGTATAAAAGCGAAAAGACCAGTGTCACCTGGAAGACAGATTAATATAAAATATATTATCGTACTTTGAAAAGTCCCACCATGATGGCCGAGACGTTAACAGTAATTTATATACACAAATATGTAGACTCATTAGGCTGGAAAAAAATTAAGCTCTATAAACATGAAAACCACCGCTTAAGTTTCAGGTGTTACGATAAACAAAAACTTTATATCTCAATATTTTTAAAAAACTCTACCTACCGTCATATCGTCGCCTTGTTGATAACTTAGGATGTCAGCAACACACCCTCCATTATTTATTAAGGTAATAATGGTCTCTTATTATCACGACTTTTTGTTGTTACCACGGTACAAAAGCATTTTTTAGGACCTAAAGCAATTTATCTCCATACGATCTTGACTAATAATAATAACTTTAGTATTTTGTTTGTCCTGGCAGCATCTTTTAAAATATAATTTCGTAAGAATATAAAACACGGTTTGATACTAGAAAATAAGTTAATCGACGAATCTCTGTGACTCATCAAATTGGCTGCGATCCATTTAATACAGCTCCGCAAAAACAATTGCACAATTGACAAGAACGGCTAACTCGATAGCGTTACAACATTACTCTGGTTACGCAAGCCACCATTAATGATCCGTATGAATGAAAGACGGCAAGAGTAAGAACTAAGCATACGCACGTCGCGCTCCGGCGCATTCCTCGAGTATTTGTAATGAAAGCACCGGCAGGAACTGTCATCGATAGATCGATCGGAGATTTTCTCTGTTGGTTGGCCAACATCATTCATAGTTCAGTGTGTTTGTCGTACTTTGTCTAAAAAGAATTGAGCTAACGCACAGTATGCCGAGTAATAACCGAATAAGTGAATTAGATTATAGTAGTAATGGTTAGCCATGTTTTACTGCGATCCTTATGTAGCTTCACATAGACACCGTTTGCTTAAAAGGAACTTAATCCTGCCTTGAATGTAGCATCTAGTTTTTAGATTCGTGGCTTGCATATGTTGAATTGCCTCCGTCTGAACGAGCTGTCGTGTGATTGTCTCTAACGTCATCAGGGGAGAGGCAAGCCCACGACCTGTCACGTAAGCCGGGAGCGAGGCATATAGTACTCACCACGTAGTAGCGACCCAAGAACGCATTTTCTTCCGATTTTTTAAGTCTTCACGTCACACCGTTAACCATTTAACTAACACGTCAGGAAAAATTGTGCTCAAAACTGCACAATTTTCATCCAAAAGTTACATCTTGATCAGTTTCAACGAATGAAGTGAATCGCGAGCCGGTGAACAGTTCACCACCCTAGCTGATTCACTATTCATTCCCTGCTAGAGAGAAGAGTCACGAAAAAGATATCGAAAGCCGTGATGTTGTTTTTTGCCTATGAGAACGTAGTCAGACCTTCGAAGTTGCTCAGGAAGTGCAACGGGCGATAGCCTTGCTCTTTGCTGTCGAGCTGGGTCAGTTCTGGATCGGCGATTTTAATTTCGATTCCGAGGGATTCAAATTCGACTCTCGAATGCTGCAATGACAAATCTAAAAATGCTTCAAGCCTGAACCAACCGATGCTTAAATCCAACGTATTTACATGTGCCGATATTGCATGGGGAATTGTCTAAAAGAGTCAGAAGGTCTCAAATAATATAGCACTTGCGAGGAAGTGTCAGTTACTACCTTTACTCCTTCCAGCCTGCTTCATGCAACAATCCCCATCGACAAAATTTGTGCACATCTTACAGACACTACACATGGTAGTTGGTTCTTTCCCTGCAGTCTTTGAGGTCAAGAGCAGTATCCAAATTCTTACAGAAGTGTGCCTTTCAGAAGCCAGCCCGAATTGGTTCCGAGACCGGAACTGAAACTATGTAGTCGAACCACCAAAAGGAACGAATTAACATAGCTTTTCTCTGTTAAACCGCTGCGTCAAAAGCCTGAATACACATAAGACCGGTGCAAGATCAACATAGGTTGATCACATCGCTGGAGCTGGTTTATTCTATAATCGGTTATCAGTGGCTGGTGTTTGGAATAGTGATGGTCGAAAATAAGGTTTAAAGGCAGCTATAATAACTCTTCGTCGATGATACAAGAAAAAATCGTTACTCCGTTTCTAAGAATTTTAAAGGAAAGCGTAAAAACAAATTTAGTTATGCATTATATTGTTTTGGGAATAATAGCATTATTGTGATAAATGCAATATTATAGTTTAGTTGAGCAGTTTCTGAATGATACTTAAAAAAAGCTGAAATTTTCAAAACAAAAATGGAAAATAGGTAAAATTAGGAATTACGTGTTTTTCCTATTTTAAACGCCATATAAAGAGGATTTACGTGGTTTTCTTGTGTTAACAACGCCTTACAACCTTCTTACTGAATCCAAGCGGTTGCGCCTGAACGCACCGGCCCTGATTGGCATTCGGCCTTTTTAAGCCTTCTAATTTTTTGTCAGCAAGGCTACTTTATTTCGAATCCGCTGAGCTCCCGCCACGAACTTGATTGATATCTACACATAACTTAATAGACTGTTGGTTCCCAAATTGTCTGGAGTAATGATGATCAACCTGGTATCAGCCCCATGCGTTATTAGCCCCTTTGCAAAATGCTTATAAAGGGTAGAAGAGGATGCGATGCTTAAAAAATGGGAAAATACCTCTTCCTATTAAGCAGGAACCGACTTTGTTGTATAATCTCGAAAGTCAGTGCAAAGAAATTTATGAAGAAATACATCAAAAATGGTGCATAATTTTAATGATACCGAAGAACTGAAAATTGCTAGTATTCCAAACCTAGTGCTTCGTTTTTGAAATAAATATGCCTACTGAACTATGTTAGTTGGTCTAAAACCGTGCAGACTTTGCGACATATGAAGCATGAATAGAGGATCGTGTAATGCCTCGTAGCTGCATTGGTATGACTCGGCATAGCCCGCCGTGACATTTCCGCGAGTGGGCGACCTTCGTCTCGCGGGTGCGCTACGTTATAGGAACAACGTTGCCACACTTCTCAATCATTCTTCTCAATTCTGTATTCCACGTTGAAGATCATAGCACATGGTCTTGTAGGCCCTCCACACCTAGCATCTCAATTTAGTCTCTAGCATTTCATCAATTCATTGTTGAACTAACGCAGGACCTTTTGGCGAACATCCAGTTTCTTCATATGAGTTACTTAGCTTCATAGCTCTCTACCTATCAACAAAATTGGGATGGTTCAGGCATCTGACCGCAAAAGGTCTTAATAGATCCTATTATACGTTTTAAAACCTTCACAAGTAGTATCAAAGCCGTTGTCTGTTTCTCGATCCATAAAAGAGTCCAAAAATCCTTGAATCCATTCAGTAACAAAGCCCGTTAAGCTTATATAATTTGGATGTAAAAGTATGCTACATACCTGAGAAACAAAATCCACTAATTCCTTTTGTATGTTTTGACGTAAGATTCATTTCACATATTAAAATTTGACGTTCAGTTGAACCAGTCAGAAAGACCTTATTGATATGCAATTTCATGCTAACTTACGAAAGGGAAAATGCAACGTATTACCAAGATGTTGCAACAAAATTTAGAAATGTAGTGAATGAAGATGATAGAGACGATAGCGAAAATAAAGTAAATATCAAAGAGGCACTACACTTTTATCTTATTCCTTGTTTTCAGGCTAACGTCACTGATATGTGAACATTGCAACCGCATCTAAATTGTTAAGCAAAACCTCCTAAATCCGAAATGATTTTCAAAAACAGCTTAACCCATGTCCTTGTTTTCCAAGAATCTATTGGAGTCAAATTTTCTCATAAGCAAAATCTCAAATACTCGTATTAAGTTACCACCTACCGATTTCTGCAAGTACCTTGATTTAACTATTTTGTGGCCAGTAGCAAGCTTTCGCGTTTCTTGAAAGATGTTCTAAGGCCAGTCCATCTAGCGGTTTTTGAAATTAGGTCAGTTAAATATACAAAAAGTTTCTGGTCTGAAGGATTTGACGAAGTAGGTGTAATACGGTTTAGGGTTCAGGGTCGCTTCCTCAATTATGCCTCATAGCCCAGTAGTAAATAGATTTTTCCTCGCTATTTCCTTAGCGGCTGTGCAATGTTTACAGAATTTTCACCACATACTGGAGAAGTATACACAGCTGCTTCATTCTCTGAGATGCACCACCAAGGTTTCTTGTAAATTTTGTCAGGTAAGGCTCTTGAAGTTTTAAACCAAACTACATCCAAATTTTTATTTTACGCCAAATATGAGACTTTGAACACTAAGAAAAAAGAAAGTCAAACATGCTCATGCTGGAAGAAGAACGGTGCAGACGGCTTGGCAACACTGAAAGGAGATCAAATCACAATTGTGACCTATGAGGTAACATTGCCCCGCACGCTGTACCTTTGGAATGTGGTGGGACCCTTATGGTATTATTCTTTTAAAAATGTCGCTGAGTTATCTTTATTATACAAATTTGCGCAAAACGTGTAGGTTTAATCAGTAGCAGATTTCGCCTAAAGGAGTTCCTGTTGACGGTCAATAAACTTTTGGTGGCCACTGCTTGAAGGTATCAACGTCTATGCTGTCTTATAGTAGCTTTGCACCGAGGAAGCGAACATCTTTTCTGATAAAAAGAATATACTTCGGTGTTGTATGTGTACTCCCTATTAAGTCAACTCTGCTGCTTTAGATAGATCCACTAAGACTAGACTAGAATAGCGTAAGGGAGGCATGTATCCCGATGTAGTCAATCCTGTCGTCAAGGATAGTGCAGCTCTCGGGAATCTAGTGAACCTATTACATGGCGCGGAGCGTCTGCGCATTGAAAGCACGCCACAGATCGGCCAGTGGAAAGACCTCGATATCACTTTCGCGTGTAGACATAAGGATGTGATAGACTTTGTTTGTTCTGAGGATCACTTTGTTACCTTGCATTAAAAATCAGCACATTATTTGTGGGTCTTCATGTTTAATACTCTATTGATCCTGATATTATTGTGAATATTTTATGATGTATAGACCAAGAAATAACTTGGTATGGAAAAATTATGTAAAATATACAAAATTAACATAGCTGACATCACTCTAGGATTTGATGTCTTTGTCCGTGAAATCACCAGGTTCATTGTCAATGAACTGAAAGAGGCGATTTTGAAAACCTTAACAGGCTTGGGTTTTGGAATTAATGAATTATCTTAGAAGAAAATCTGGTATTTTATATGTCTATGAATATTCACGTAACCCATAAAGCGTCTAGAATACTATAAAATCACAATGATGTGTTCGAATACCTTCGATGTGTCTCTTTCATTTTAATATAGTCTTATCGCACAAATAATAGACAGATCGATAGATAATAGTATTTAATGAAATAAATAAGCATGTTACTAAGCATAAAAATACAAACTGATCCAAAAAGCAGGCGAAGTCTAGCCCAGGGCTACTCTAACTTAACCTGCAAGTCAGCAGATATGCTGTAATGTAATATGCAAGTTAGGAATGCTTGATACCAAACAAGACTACACGACAAGTGAATGCTTCTTATAGACAATAAAAAAATACAAATAATGTAATAATACAAAGGTTTTTTTGGAAATAATGGGTTTTATTACAAGGAGTAATGTATATATATATATATATATATATATATATATATATATATATATATATATATATATATAACTTGAGACGTGGTCATTGTCGTCTAGACCAGTTAGGTGAAAAATTAAAGCTTCCGCCTTTTGTTGGGTACTTCGACAAGATTTAATAAATCTTGTCGAAGTACCCAACAAAAGGCGGAAGCTTTAATTTTTCACCTATATATATATATATATCTTTACTTCTAATAACTGCAGGATTCATGTTACAATTTCTTTAAATTATATTTTTTACGATTCTGTATCGGTAGCATCATTGAAAAAAATACCCAGATGTAAAAGTCTTCCTCGGGCCATATTAACGCGCCAACATATATTTTGAGTCTCCTGAATTCTATAAAGATCTGGTTGTTTGTGGAAAAAGCCGTAAAGCTAATCTGGGTAACTGAAATGTGACAAAACTAAGGCTGTACATAACGTTTTTTATTTCTTTCAATCATGGTTGGGAATATGTTGGCTACCATGAAGTTGTTTCAACGAATTGTAGCCATTCTGTAGTATTTTTTGACATGTCCGTCAAAATTCAAATGATTATCCATTAGCACACCAAAGTTACGGAAATAGTTACAAATCTCAAGCTTTCTGATTTAGCTGGATTGAGTTGTATTGGGTTCTCATGCGAAACGTTAGAAATGACATTGTGTTTCTTGATTACATCACTTGACGTTGAAGTATAATTTGAAATTCTAAAGTAACAATATAGTTGCATGCCATCAACAAACGCTTGTTGTGTTTGAGCTAAATTTGTGAGTAACACTGACTCCATTGTTACATTCCCACAATATAAGGCAAATCCTAAGTGCAACAGTACGACTCCTTTAGGAACGTTGATGTTTTCTTGATTTGTTTCCCCATCTTGTTAAGTGAACTTGACAGCTATACGCTAATATCCTTCCTAATTAGGCACCTGCATCCATGTTCAAGTGCAGGAAGGGATCGTGTGAGACTCTGTACTTTTTCCCTCACCTAATGAATTTAATAAACGGTTCGTGCAAATATCTATTCGCTGATGAACGCACACGAAGCGTCCATGGTAATTACCGCTGTTAGATTTACTGGAGAATTTGCTAACTCGAATATGTTCATAGGTGGACTCCTCTTCTCCAGGTGTTTCAGCTACTAATGTCCGTTGATGGCGCTGCCTGGGAAAGTGAGTTTTCGTGACAATGCGGAAGTAACCTGTAGTGGTAAGGTCAGATCAAGGACAGTTAAACCGCTGCCAGAGGTGCATAACTTATCTTGAAACGTACGACTTTTTCAGGCAGCGGCATTGCAATTCTGAAGCTGAAAATCCTGATGGACGTGTAAAGCTATGTCCATCACCAAAACACTTCGGCTGAGATGTGAGTAGCGCCTTGCTATTACATTCCAAAAGGGATTTCTGAAAGATTCCTCAGATATCAGCAGAGCATAAATGGAGGACAGAGAGGATACAGCAGCAGATAGAAATAGATCATCCATCACAACAAACCCAATTGGTTACCAAGGGGGGAACGAGGAAGAAGAAAGTCCCTCTTGAATTGGAGAACATACCTAAGGAATGCTGTGGTAAAGAAGGATTCAAAAGAAGTAGAGTGGGAAGATAGAAAGTTGTGCAAGCTATAGTCAACAAATCGTTAGAGGAGAAGAAGAAATGACAAGCAATATGAAGAGCACACGGTTTAACTTACGGTATCTTCCGTTTATTGTACCCTCCTCGTGTTTTTTTTGGACGTCAAGTTGGCAAATTGAAATTCTGGATGACGATAGTGATTGCATGAAAGGTATATCTTAGTATTGAAGTGACACCTGAAAATTGAAAGATAATGCCTGGTCAAAAAGGGCAAGTAAAGTCATGATACGGGAGTGAATACTTCACAACTCTAGAGTATAAACTCCTGAATCTTTCAAAATGGCAGTCTGTCAATAATATATCGCAATTTCATTGATGTCTGTTGTTTAGCAGCTACATGCTCTATTATAATCACATGTCGTGGTCGTGGTCACATAGATTGACGGATTCATTATTTCCTCTGGAGGGGAGGCGTTTATATCTGTGAATACGAAGAATTACTGGATTTTTTGAGGAAAGCCCAGCATTTCAAAAAAGGTTCGATACCCTGAACTTACAAAACGAAGCATTGACGTATGCTTATGCATATACATTTTTCGATCTCCCCTTGAAGTCCGGACATGTGCTTTATTGACACCCTGCGACATAAAAGGCGTTTGTGCATTTGAAGATGAAAACTGCCTTATCTTGTAGCATTGACTGATCGAAGATATCCAACCATATTCTGTATTTCGGCTTTCGAAGGGGAATCTGAAAAATACGATCTATATGGTGTTATCTGCTTTGAAAGTAGTTCCAGTGTTTAGTCCCGCTACTGTACAATGGATGGCGCTGAGATATTTACTCCCTTCTCCTCTATTGAATGCCTATTCTGCTCAGACGTCTTCAGACATTGAATAACGTAATCAACCTGAACAGGCCCAATAAAAATATGTATTAGGGAGGTGCTAAAGGAGGATTGAAGATCCAGTGCTATCTACAAGGCAATAGCAAAAAGCAGAACCAAAAACTGTAACTCTTTTCTAAGTAGAATTTGTTTTTATGTTATTGACTCACAGATGCTACTAGGATATGTCAGATCTCGAAATACAGTATTTCCTTGGCTATCTTCAGATAGGATATATCACTCAATCCTAATAATCAATAAATAATGTAATTTTTTTTTCTTAGAACAACGATTGAACCAAAGTTTATTCAAATTCAAAACCCAATGTAACTTACAAATTAAGAAAAAACCTTCAGTACAATTTAAATAAAAAAAAGCTTCAAAAATACATGAGCTTGTACACTCTTGCTACTCTGATTGCAACAGAAATCTGAGCAAAGATACTAGCATCAGATCTAGAACCAGCAAGTAGCGGTATATGAATTGTGAAAATTCTGTATACTTTCGTAAAGGGTAAATGTCTGAATCTTGTCGTCACAAATCCTAAATTACGTGTCTGCATAAACAAATCTAAAATTCATAACAATAGTACAGAAGCATACTAAAAACACTCAGAAGTATAAATATAGAGTACATAAAATATGAATATCTGAAATATGATAATATAGGGATATTTCGAGTAAGGTCAAACTATGTTGTTTAAACAATAAAAATTTTGCGTAAATGTTAAGCAGAGAGACAAGAGTACTACAATTTACTACAAAAGAATATACACCTAAGCTATAAGCTTGTGTGTGTCATACAATATACAAATTGAATGCATAGCTAATGGTTATAAGGTATATTATGCGCAAATGTATATAAAAAACAGAAATAAAAAAAACATTAGATAGAAACGAAATTACTGAATTGAGTCAAGCTGCCGTCGATGCAAGCATGTCAAAGTTATTTAAGATGAACTTCTTAATTCTTTTTTTGAAACTATACTTCGAGAGGATTTTATATTCTAGGGGTAGTTGATTATACAACCTAATACCATCAAACTTTATGCATTTCTGGCAAACAGATTTATTCACTCTGGTATAGGTGTAACTTATATTTATTTTAGTTCTTGTTTCATAAGCGTGGCTGGTTGGAACATTGTTTCGGGAGTGAACAAATTTTAGAGCAGCAAAAATATATAAACCTCTAACATTCAAAAGATCATTTTCAATGTAAACAAATCTGCAACTTGACCTACATGGGATACAAAAAATAGTCCTGACGATATAATTTTGCGTGGTTTGTAGTATTTTTAAAGTACTAGTGTATACGGCTCCCCAAATACTTATCCCGTAAGTTACTAGAGACCCCACAAACGAGTTATATATTGAGAGAAGACTCTTTCTGCTTAAAATATTCCTAAGAATGAAAAACTTATGAATAATTCTCCTTAATTTCGATGCCAAAAGCTCGGCATGACTCTGCCATTTTAAATTACTGTCAATAGTGATTCCTAAGTATCTAATAACTTCAACTCTTTCGACAGTGTCAGCACTATCATTTATAATTAATGTTCGGTGGTGTAATGGCATGCCTGCTTTGGTTGGAGGAAACGTTACATACTTAGTATTAGAGATATTAAGTTTAAGTAAATTGTTATCCATCCAGCATTTAACTTTATTCAATGACAACTCGGCATTCCGTATTGCGTCATCCCATGAATGACCAGTGCAAACTAAAACAGTATCGTCTGCATATGATATCATGTTACAATTGAAATGACATCGAAGTAGTTCATTTATGTATATGAGGAACATTGTTGGTCCCAAAACCGTCCCCTGAGGCACACCTATTTTGATCTTTTGAATGCTGCTTAAATCTTACGCTACCTTAACTTGTTGTAACCGATCAGCCAAATAGTTCTCAAATAAGTTCAGAACTCCGCTGCGCACTGCAACACTTTCTAGTTTCTTCAATAAAATTGTATGAGATACTGAATCGAAAGCCTTTTGAAGATCTAGGAAAACTGCAACAGTCTTACTTCCATCTTGAAAATTTTCAAGCACTTGTCCTGTAAGCTCTTGTAGAGATTGCTCTGTATTGCAATTTTTGCGGAACCCAAATTGACAGTTCGATATTATGTCATATTTCTCAAGAAAAGGACAAAGTCTGTTATTTAAACACTTCTAAAAAATCTTACCAAATACATTGATAACTGAAATTACTGAGGATTTGAAACAGAGGTTGATAATGTGAGTTATAGGGTGACTGATATACTTCATGATCATCTTAATTGTTTTAGTGTGTAAGCCATCTTTTCCGGGTGCGCTATTATTTTTCAGATTAAAAACTATTTGTTGTAACTCTATATTATCCACTGGAGTTAAAAACATAGAGTGAGCAATGTTGACGACATGAAGATCTGATGTATCAAGAATTGAGTATTGATCAATCTGACTTGTTATTTGCTCACCTTCATATATCAACAAAATATTTATTAAAAACACAGGCTATATCAGTGGGAGCGTCCAGCTGCTGACTATTGTGATTAATTGATTTTAAGTTTTTTATTTTACCAGCATTAGTTACCTCATTAATAACATCCCAGCTCTTCCTATAGTTATTACCAGCTAAAATGAGTTTTTGTGTATAATATTGATTTTTAGAGATCTTAATAAGATTAGTTACTCTGTTTTTGTAGGAGATATAGGCCTGTTTCAATATCAAATTATCATTATCTTTCGTCAAACTCTGTTTCAACTCATCCCTCTTCTTGATCGAGGTAAGAATACCGTCAGTCATCCACGGCTTGCGTTTTCAAGTCTTACTATTTATTTTTAAATAATACGTTGAATGATCTATGCCTTTATATAATTCATTATAGAAGTTATCAGTTGCTTTTTGGACATCACTCTCTGAAAAAACACTGTCCCAAGTCACCACTTGCAAATAATCTGTCAACCTTTTTTTAAACAATTTTCTTAAATTCATAGCTGTTTTTATTAATGATACAATTACTTCCTTTCAAATACCCAAAATTGAACAAAACAGGATAATGATCGGTCATACAATTCTCCAAAAGTATTGGTTTACACTCAATTCCTGTTTCAGAGACCTTACATCTGTCTGTAATCGTAAATGAGTTAGAATCTACCCTAGTAGGTGTATTAATCTGAGATATGTACCCGTTTTGTTATAACATATTCACGTATCTTAAACTGCTGTATTCATGTTCTCTCAATAAGTCTATATTTATATCACCCACCAACAACGAAATGTCACAGTTTACAGTACTTTTCAAATACGAGTCCAAATTGTTTACAAAATCCTGTACATTCGTGGGATCAGGCCTGTAGATACCAGTAATACTGAAACTGTTATTGTTGAAAATAAAGCTACAATTCAATGCCGTCACTACATCTATCATTTTTATGGAGACATTTGTCGAAATGTCATCTCTTACATACATACAAACCCCATCGCATTTATTATACTTGGCGATATTACTGATATTCCAAGTCTCATTCAAAACAATTATTATACCTATATTTTTATTCTTATTTAACACCGCTATGTTTATACAAAGCTCATCATAGTGAGCTTGCAAGCTCCTGATATTGTAATGAAGTATAGTGAAGTTTAACTTATCACGTCTCTCAAATAGAACACTAATTCATCAAAATTAGAACTGATGGCCGTGATATTGTTATAATCCTCTAAAATACTAAAGCTGTATCAATATCAGTCATATAAAAATCAAGCTAAACTCAATATGAATGCAGAAAAAACTGAAACTAACTAAACTGCTACAACTAAACAATGGCTCAGTTATGTAACAAATTACAACTCGCAGAAAAAGGAGAAAAAAAAAGAAAAGAAAAAAGCACTAAACCAAAATGAAAAGCTCACGTCCACTCTGCAGCAACCTGGACAGTACATGGGATCATTACTGCGCCATGTTATTCAAGTCCTCTTCCGTTTTTATCTGTAACTTGTTTTCTCGCTGTTTCACCCATATTTCTCCGTTATAAAACCAGGTCTTCTGCTTACCCCATTTCTGCACGGCCTTTTGATACAGGTTATATCGAGCAGCCGACATATCTTCAGTAAGAGTTGTTCCTGAACCTTTCAGCAACTTCCTGTTTCTCAGAAGCTTCATTTTCAGGTTATGAGAATTTACAGTAAACAAGACAGAACGCTGTTCGTCCTTCTTTCTTCCTAACCAAAAACAATTTTCAATATTCTCTTCCAAAACTCGAATTTTTAGGTTATCTTCGCATAAGGTAAGCACCTGCTCCAGGACACTTGTACCATGTGATTCCTTCATGCCAACTATTCTAAAAGATTTCCGACGTGCATGTTGTTGAAATTTTTCCAAATCACACTCTAGTTTATTCTTAGCTCTCAGGTCCACTATTTGTTTTTCTAGCTCGACCATTTTTTGTTGAGATTCCTTTATACCCAGTTTCTGTTCGATTTTATCAGAAATAAGCGTTAAGAATTCATCATCACTGAGCAATTCTTCAATGGTTTGCTTTATGATTAATTTAACATCGGCCATTTGATCTCGTGTCAATGGCATATTGATTTAGTGTCCACTAACCTTTCAGAGCAGAAGAACCAAATTATTTAATTCCACTTATTACTGGAGGTTTTTCAGATTTTCCGCAGAGCGACACACAGCACGTCTACTCTCTCACCATGTCTACTGTCTACTACGGCTTTGTGAATAACATTCTTCCTAAGAAATAGGTTATAAATTGAAAACCAGTAGATACAATATATTTTTTTTCTGATCTTGAATCGGCTAGCTAAATACTAGATATTTATGGCTGCCCACCTCCTTGTAATATATTGAAAGTGACAGCTCCATAGATATTTTATCAAAAATTTCTAAGAAAATTTTCAGAAATTCGGCTGGATAGCCACTGAAGTTAATTATAGCATTATAAATGGGCGCGAAAAGGCTGTTTTTTAACCGAAGAACACGGTAATATATATACTCTCGATGAAAATCCCACCGAGACATAAATCTATACGCACTTCTAAAATACGTGAGCGTGTGTAAACATTTTTTTATTCGGTAAAAGTTGTGTCAAAGCAATCCAACAGGTCTATGAGAATATGAAATATGATGGAAAAACCATACAGGGAATGTTAAAACACTGGATAGCTCATCCTGTGAACATTCCACGTGTGCTATAATGACCGAGTGGTTATTTCATAATTATAAATATTGTACAAGAGGTACTGCCTTCACACAGCGGTACCTCAATGTGTCTTACAGCGTGAGGTAACTGCTATTTTAGATTTGTTGATGAGGCTGCTTGAAATATACCATACGACAAAGTTTGTTACTTGAATAGAATTTACACACAGCAGACTGAAGATTGGCAAATTTTCTCCTCCAGCATCGCCGGATTAGTTTCATAAAAAATATTTTCTATATATGCTAACGACTTAAAGAAAAAATTTTTATAGCAGGCATTTATCAGATGTTAGAAAGGTTGCTAAAACTTTAAAAACAATTTTATTACAATTGGAATATGATTATTTTTAAGTTAACTTTGTTTTATTAATAGCTAATAAGTGTTTATTTATCTATCTATCTAATGTTAAAAAGCTTAACTTGGAAATGGTAATTATAGATGAGCATTTTATATGGTAGTCGACTAGCTACGCTCTACCATCAAAGAAGGTAGTTGCCAATAAGAATCCAATGAATTCCAATTCGACTGTTTAAGTCATTTTACTACAGAGTACATGGCCGACTTCATCAGATCAGCTGCGCGTCAAGATAATGTTGCAGGAAATATTAGGTGTTCGGCCATATTGTATTGTATTTAGGATGACGTCAGCTTACTTACTGTATAGATAGAGGTTACTGTGAAAATGAGAAATTGCCATTTTGTGGAGTCCGCCTTATTGGATTTTAAATGATGTCATGTTTGTATAGCGTTTTGCTCGTCAATTCCATTCACTACATACCCATATCGTAGGGATGATTATACAAATGAAGAATGGCCACTGTGTAACTTCCGCGATATTTGATTGAAAATGAGGGAATTCATGTGATCATGGATTGTTATGTGAGTTAAGGGTGTATGTCAAATTTCAACTTAATCGGACACTAAAGGGTGGGTCAAATTTATCCAGCGCGGGCAGGCGGCTCCTTGAATGTCTCTCCCTAGAGATTTTTAGGGTTGGATCATGAGCCGCCTAAAACTACTGAAGGGCAATTGAAGGTATCCCAGAGTAGGTGTTCTTTTGGATATCAGCAGATAACATTTTGTTACTGCATTGCTAAGACTAAACAGTGAATTCTCTAGCCAACTCAGAACCACCATCTATGAAATTTTTGTGGGTACATTTGTCATTGCAAAAATAGTGTATCCTGTATTTCTTGAGAACTGTTCACGAAACTTGTACCTTACAAAGTAGCGCCCAGATTTTGATGAAACTTTTACACAAGGTTTCTACTACGCCAAGGTCGGCAAATTTTTTAGAATTGGTTCAGTGGCTGCGGAGCCAGGGGCAAAAAATAAAAAAAAATCGCTCGGACAATGTTTTTTGACATTTCAGATGCCCCTGATCATTTTCGTTAAAATTTTTGTAGGGATAAACAGCTGGAAGATGGGTTATAGGAAATGGAAGTTCATATCTCAATTGTTTGTTAGTATATCTATAACGCTTCTAACTATACTAAGTGACATAAATCCGAACACCCAGTTTAATTAGTTTGATTTTAATAAAATTTGGTGAATGTATTTATCTTACTGTAAATAACAAGTGAAAAAATTTTCAGCCTTATCAGTTGGACATTCCGGTTTTTATACTGCTTTTTTTTTAATTCACTAACGCTCTAAAAATGAATATTTCAGCCGCAGTAAAGAATCAACGTTGGCGGATTTTGGTTCTTGACATCCTTTACGATCGGTTACGATGCCTAGAGTACGGAGACCTGTACGATATCGTCAACTTAGTGAGTTTGATAGGGGCCGTATAGTGGGACTTCGGGAAGCTGGACTTTCTTTTCGGGCAATTGCAGTTAGAGTGCAAAGAAGTGTAGACACTTTGGTTAGGTGTTGTCAGGCATGGCTTCGAGAAGGCCGTACGCAAAGAGCAAGGGGCACTGGACGCCGCCGAAGAACAACAGACCGTGAAGATTGCCACCTAAGATTATTGGCCTTAAGGGACCGTTTCTCCACTACCAGGTCCATTGCAAATAAATGGTTTGCAGAACACGGAAGACCTATTGGCATGCGAAGTGTTTACCGACGAATGAGAAGTTTTGGCTTGTTTTCATACCGGCCACACGGGGTCCTCCCTTTAACTCGAGAACACCGACGTAATCGCCTTGAGTGGTGCAGACAACGGTAAAAGGAGGAATCCACAGTTTTTTGTTGAAAGACATGTTCATCACACTGCTGGAGTTATGGTTTGGGGTGCTATAGCTTATGGTTCCAGGTCACCTTTAATCTTCGTCAGAGGTAACATGAACGCGCAGCGTTATATCCACGAAGTTCTAGAACCCCATCTTTTACCCTATCTTGACACCCTGGCAGATCCAACTTTCCAACAAGATAATGCCCGACCACATGTTGCAAGAGTCACAATAGACTTTTTTCAACATAATGATGTCACATTGTTACCATGGCCACCAAGATCTCCCGACTTATCCCCAATTGAGCACGTGTGGGATATGATGGGTAGGAGATTGCTCAATTTGCAACGTCGTCTTCATTCTCTAGAAGCACTTCGAGAGGAGTTGGTGGTTGCCTGGAATGAGATACCACAGGAGGACATTGACCACCTGATCAGAAGCATGCCTAGGCGCGTTGGAGAATGCGTAGCACATCAGGGTGCATCCACACATTATTAAAGGTCAAAGGGCTTTAGGGCTTTAGGGCTTGAAATTTTTATCATTTACTTATTATGCTTCATTAAGTACTTATACAAAATTTTATCAAAATAAAACCATTTAAACTGGGTGTTCGGATTTATATGTCACTTAGTATATGATGGTTCGTAGCATTTATAAAATATATTTGATACATCAAGGTAACGAAAGTGTCTGCGAAAATCATAAGTTCACCAATTTTGGCCCAGCAAGCAAAGTTAAAAATCTCTTTGAAATGAATACTTTTCAAGTTGTGTACGTCAAGATTAAAGCTTTAAATAAATGCGTTCCGGTTTAAAAGGTTGTAATTTTTAACAGAGTTTCCAAGCGTTGAGTATATTAACTTCTAGGCCTTTTTGATACATTAAATCACTTATAACTGGAAAATGGTCAGCTTCAGAGCAACGTTTTTGGAAGTCCTTTTTAAGAATGATCCAAAAAAAAATTAGTCTCGACAGAGAAATGTAGTTTTCTGATAAATTGAAGAAATTTGATCTGGGTTACCGTGAAGAGACATTCATGCTTAAAAACTCAGCTGAAAGATAAAACCTTGCCCTACAAGGACTTGAAAAGCTTTTTGTGATTAGTTTATTTTGAAGCGATTTCAACAGTGTTTTTCGGGCCAAAATTGGCAAACTTTGGATTTCGCAGACTATAAATACCTGCTTTGGCAACTGCCCAGGTTAGTCATAGCAACATTGCGAGATGGTCGTTACGTCTACAGGGCGGGGGAGGAATGCCTGGATCGCAACATTGTCAATTGTATAGTAACTACGGACCATCTGAAATCTTTCAATTGCACAAGTCCATGCTTTATGCCATGAGGTGAATTGCAATCAGTGCCAAATTTGGAACGTTGTTCTCACATTACACAGTCATGAGGATCTCCCTAAAATATTCCCCAGTTACACAAAAAATCCGTAGACACGCTCCTTAACTGACGCACGCACTGTAACTTTCCGTAGGTTTCAGGTGCACGGACGCTTTCCCATTAAATTAATAACGTACTACTTCTCTGATTTTAGAGAGATAACAGCGCGAGAATTGCCCAAAAATATTAACGTCCTCAATAACGAGACGGTAGGACGTATGTGAACTCTGATAACGGAAACTGCCACACAAAATCGAAGCTATTTGGGCTGTAGTAACCGTATGTAATTACAGCATTAACAGTCGTATCGAATAGGTGCGTAGTGCTATATATTGTCATTTTTATTAACATACCTTTATTCTTAATTGTTTTGTTTTGTTTCAAAAGATATGAAATGTTTTCGTATCCACAGCTGGGTGTCAAAGAGAATTGCACTTTGTCCATAATATACGTGAAACAATAAAATTTGACCTCCAAAGCTGAAAATTTTAAATAACTCGAATAAGGTAATATTCTGGAAGCTATAAAAGTAATAAGAAGTTAGAGACTCGGTGAAAACGGTGAGCAAATAAAGCTTGATACACCTAGGTAGCTTGATTATAAGAAGGTCATACAATTCTGAGAGATGGTGATTTTTTGATCTAGAGTGATAGCCATAATTGGCACTAAAATGAGGTATCACACGACCCCATTCCATTAAAAAAAATGTTCCGAAATGGCGCCCAGTCACCATCTTGGAGTTTTCATCTGCCATCTTCACGCCTAAATGTGGTTTTCATGAATTGATTTCATCACCCAAATTTCAACTTGCTAATATGACACGTCCACAAAATAAGC